AGTAGTATTGCCAATTCACCAATAATTAGAAGGGGTTAAGATATCTAATCTCTACTTGTAACTTAATCATTTCACCAACACTCTTTCTTTCAACAAATAACCCCATAACTGATGCCACTTAATCTGGTCTCCAACAAAGCACTGCTTCAATGGATCCCACCACTAAAACAAAAAGATTGTGTTCGAACTTCAAACACCACCCTTCCCCACAAACACCCCAAAAGAAAAAGATAAAGAGAAGAAAAGAAAGAGTGGAGTTTGCCGAAGTGAGGGGTGTAATCTAAAAGATAGGTCAATAAGACCAGAAAATAAAGGCCATGGAAGCCAAATTTTTAGGATGCTTCGCGAAGATAAGAGAATCCCAGCCTTCACTTCCTATGAATAAAGATGACTGCGGCCCTAGGACTTTGTTTTGGTTTAGTGGTAAGAGCAATGTATGGGTTAGGTAGATGTGCGGGCCGAGTTTCAACAGTACCCCAACTAGCACTTGTACATTCCTCGGTTACCAAAAAAAATGAACCTAGATAACTGTATACTCTCACACTTGAACGATGAGGAAATTACAAAACCCAACTTTCTCAAGAAACAAAGGAAGCTCATGGTCTTTGTTATCCCTTAATTCTGATCATTTAGCTTCATGGTTAATATATTAACATCAATGCTTATGGACCATATTGCGTTTAAGCTAAATTGTGGAAGCTGAAAGTATCAGGATGCAACAAAAAATCCGTTGTCATGTCAAGTAAGATTTCAAGAACCAACAAAATGAAGAGATGACCTATACATTTACAGGACTTAAAAAACAAAAGAGAAATGTAGTAAATAATAGTTGCAGAATCAAGACTGAAATCAAGCTGATTATCAAGTATGGCATGCTTTGCTGAATTTGCTTCTAAAAGAATACTACACAAAAGGCAAACTCACCTCTAAGTTATCATTTAACAAAAAAGACCAAACAAAGAGAATAAGAGATCAGAATTCACTACATGCCTTCTGTTCTTCTAAGCCATGGCAAGTCCATACTAGAAGGAGGTCGATCGTCCATTTGAAAGTCTGAAGAACTCGCGAATTTGCCTCTTTTCGACCATAGCCAAATCTTGGAAACAGAATAGCTATCTGTTTTTCTCCCAATACCTATCTTTTTCCCCTCGTTATCTGCGTCAATTGATGGATTAGGATCCTTCTCAACCAAATTGGCTCGATTCATATTGTTTGCCTTCCGTTCACTGCTCAAGGCTACCTTAAGATTAACATCACCAACCACATACTGATATGAACCCATTGAAAAGCACCTTCTAGCATCCAAATTACTACTACTGCTTTCTCCTACACCTTCTCCTTCCCCTGCCCCATTATCCAATTTTCGAAACTTACCAAGTCTCACAGGAAAGGTCGCTTTAGCACCTGCAACTTCTTCTATTTCAATTGTTTTATGAGAAGTGGAGAACTCATGATCCGCATTACCACGATATCCATCATCTTCTCTTGGCTCATCGAAATCAAACATTGGATTTTCTATTGGAAACCCGGGATTGTAAAGGGCTCCTCGACAAAGGGGGCATGTTGAGTTTGAGAGGAGCCAAGTATCAATGCAGTTGATATGAAAAGCATGGCTGCAAGTAGGGAGCAATCTCAATTTGTCCTTGTCAGAGAATTCACACAAACAAACAGCACAATCAAATGGCTCTTTAGGACCCACAACTTCTTTGTACATAAAGACAGGCAATGCATCAATAAATGCTTGATCCAAACCAGAGTCATGTAAATGGAATAGCTGCTGTAACTGTCTTTGTAAAGCATCTGAAGTAGAAACTTCAGGGTATCCATTAGACTGAGATGATGCTGAAGAAGAAGGGTGTTTGATAAGGAATCTAACTAGCAAGTGGAGTAGACCAGATATGAAAAATAGGACAGCTAATATTACTATAATAAAAAGAACAGCTGGACTAATTTTGTTGGAAGAACTAGAAGTGTTTGGTTCATTGTGAAAATTAGAACTTGAGCCAAATGAAGGAGGAGATGGGGGAAACAGAGGAGGGGGATATGTAAAGACACCATCTTTTTTATGTTGAATCCAAGAATTTTTCAAATGGGTATGACCAGAAACCCATCTTTGTGACCTAACTTGAGCAAATGAACAAATCATCTTTAACAACACATTCAAAAAAACCAAATACCAGCAACTTTTCAACTTCTTTTCACCATCTCTGAACCAAAAAATCCAACACCCGAAATCACAAATTTTATCCTCAGATTCAAGAAAATGGTGGTTGCATCAGAAAGTTGCAATCTTGCAGCAGGTTGGGGCGGTGGTAAGGCAGCAATATTTTAATTGCTTTATTTCACTGACAGTGCAAATAACAGCAGATAGTGATGAAACCAAGCAGAAAATGCTAAAGGCAGAATCTTTACCTGTCTTGATTTCCACTTAGTAGGCACCATTATTCAGGACATAATAATACTTATAAGAACCCCTTAATATTAAAAATCACTTCTTGTAGCAGCAAAACCTTAAACACTTAGTACCTAATGAGGATCTTGAAATACCTTATACAGCAGAAATAAGGAAAAAGTTTGAATATTTGAGCCTACACCTCTTCTCTCTCTCTCTCTCTCTCTCTCTCTCTCTCTTTCTATATGTTTAACAATTTCTACCAAACTACAGAACAGAGAGTGTGTGTGTGAGAAAATATAAATAAATAAACAAGGGAAAAATGAGAAGTTGGGTTTCTGTTTTTGAACTGGAAAAGGACATTGACTTATTTGGAAGCCAAAGGCTGGCACTGACAAGCGTCACTATTCTCCAAAATAAACAGTAAACAATGCCATGAAATAAAAAAGAAACAGTAAAGAGTGCCAAAAAGAAATACTCAGTACTGTCGCACTTTTTAATTCCTTAAATAAAAGATTAAAGGTAAAGGGGAAAAAAGTAAAGGAGAAAAAAAGGGGGAAAAGAAAAAGGAAAAAAAGTTTCAAATTATGCACTTTCCCAAAAAACTCACATATTTAAGTAGGAAATAAATAAGATTTAATTGGGAAACATTAATGATGAAATAACTGAAATGGAAATATTATTATTATGATTCGAATAGCATTCAACTGGAATGTACTTATACAAGTTTCAAATCTCAAACTCGCGCCTGGTGATTTTATTCACACATTTAATAAGAAATAAATAAGATTTAATTGGAAAATATTAATGATGAAACGATTAAAATGAAAATATTTCATTACGATAAGAATAGCAATGTCTTAACTACTAGAATTAGCCTCTAATTACTAATATTTCCTTTAATTAGGTATGTTGACGATATTCTTACACAATTAAACGTCTCCCTTTCAAAAATGTTTTTTTTTTTTTTGGTTTAACTTTCTTGAAGTTTAAGCAAATGTGACATACGTTTTGCAAGTTTAAGAAGATTAGATTCCTTTCATACTGCATTGGATCTGAGAAAAATTTAAAAGGATTTAAATGCATAAATAATCGTTTGATATAAAATCTCCCAACTTGGAAGAATTTAAAATTTATATTTGTTTAACGGCTTTAAAAGTAGTAAGCATTATAATTAGCATATCGTGACAAATCAAGCCAAGCTGGAAAAATAAAATATATCTACATATATCACATGAATGTTAAATCAGTACTTTTGCAAAAGAAATGGTTTAAGCCAAGCCTCTTAATTCCCTTTTCTAGAAAATTACGTGTAAATGATGATGATGGTTTATTTAGCTGTCACTTATTGAAGGATAAGACTATATATGCAAGTAGGCTGGTTTATCTTTATTAAGAAGGCAATTAATTAGGTGAAGAATATATGAAAACAAGTGTTAGTTGTTGATAAAGGGATAATAAGCACATTATAATCCCCACATTGCACCACACGATGCGCTTACCTTCTTCTTGAATCATCAACAATGAATCAATAATTTGTTATTTCGTGATTGTGACTTCACATAATAAGTTGCTAATACAGACATTAGGGTTCCTAAAGTCAAATTCATAATTACCTACTTCCACATTATATATGTGGTCATTCAAGCTTATAAGTCTAAATTCCAACATTTTGTCTTTGAGTTGTTTACTTGGTTGCACAAAACAAGTCTATTTCATGGTTCTAGGCCCAAATTCATTTTGGCGCACTTTATCTCAAGGCCCAAAGAAGTTAACTTCTACGCGATCTATATGAAAATAACTTTGCATGGGCAGCCCGATGCACAAGGTATCATGGGCTCATGCAGGATCTAGGAAAGAGCCGCATTTCATATGGTACATATGATGTAGACAACTTATTCTGATGCAATCATTTGTGGCTGCTTCTTCGCATGTGGAGGGTATTTTTGTAAGCAAACAATTCTTAAAAAAATTATGCAATGCATATTATTTTTAATATACAAAACCAAACAATTAATAGAAAATAATCCAAAAATAACTAATCTCAATATTACTAATACACTATATTCAGTATTATTCTTACACACCCTACTAAACTACCCGTCAGTGTGCAGTATCAAATTCAACGCTAATAAGATCATGTTAGATATTCAATTGATGTGGCATGTCCACGGAAATTGAGGCCAACCAAGTTTTGTCAAAGTATTTCAAATGATATGTTCCAAGTCCGAACCAATCAAAAACGCCTTCATCACATTCCAAGAGGTTCTTCGTAAAGTCAAAGGATCTGCAAGATAGCCAAGAGAGTACTCTGGAGAACACTAATTTCAAGATCCTCATCAAAAAAATATTCAGTCATTTAAATGAAGTTCAACTTTCTATATCCTTTTTTTTCTCTTTTTTTTATTAACGAATCGGAATGACAAATAGGTGAATTTTAGATGCCATTTACAATATCCTTTTTCTAGCTAATATTGAAAAGGAGAGGTCATTAAAATAACTGAGCTTATTATAGTACACAAGACAATACTATAGACAAACAAATGCCAACTTGATTAATGACATCACCCTATACCCACACAAAACAAAACAAACATTGTCAATTTAGTACGGAATCATGTGTTTTGAGTCACTTGACACATACCAGTCATCTGAAAAGCTATTCTCATGTTTTTCATCTATGAAAAGCAACTGTCTTTTATCAGATTCTGAACAAGATTTCATTATTTATCATAGAATAGAGCACTGAGCAGCAACACTGAGAGTGTAAAGAAGAGAAATGGTTATAATGGAGATGCAATCTTGGTCAAAGGATGTTTTCCCTTTTGTTGCAATGGTGTTGGTGGAATGCTGTGAAATGGGAATGATTACACTTGGAAAAGCAGCTATGAATGATGGAATGAGTAATCTTGTTTATGTTGTTTACTATAATGCCCTTGGTACCCTTCTTCTTCTTCCTTTCTTAATCTTCCATAGGTGCAGGTTTGTCAAAATCAAATGCTCTTCTGCTATTTTTTTGTGATTACTTCTTTACTTTTTAGTAGTTCAAATTTCTATCTTTTTTTTTCCAGAAGCAATATGGCTCCTATTACATTGTCTATACTGTGGAGATTCTTCCTTCTTGGTCTGTTGGGGTATTGTACAAATTTCTTCTCTGTTTTATTGTTATCAAATTGGGGTCTTTTCGATTAAAACAAATAAAATCAGAACTTTGCTTGTAAACTCTATTGCAGAATATGTTTGCTGCAGGTCCTGGCCTATACAGGTATCAAATACAGCTCTCCTACTCTGGCAGCTGCTTTAGGGAATTTGATGCCTGGTTTTACATTTTTGCTTGCCATCATTTTCAGGTATAGGACTGCCAAATTGGGCTTAGCCAACTTCTACTTTTTGTTAGATTCAGCTTGTTTGGATGATTGTTATCTATAGTATTGTATGCTGTTACTTTAAATACAATATTTATTTTGATTGTTACTTTAATTTTGTTGTATCGTATCGTTAAATACATCGTTATGTAACGACGGAAAGTGTCACTTTATAAAACGACGGATTTGGTATGGTGGCGTCGTTTCTTTGCTTTTTTCCTCTCATCTTCCCTTTCTTTATTATTAAATAATTATATTTTATTCTTTATCCTACTTTTTTATATAATAATTCTATTCTGTATCCTATTTTTTCTTAGTAATGTTGCAAGTTTATTCTTCATATTTTTAGTGCGTGATATCATGAAACCAGGGGCGGAGCCAAAGTGTTGTTTGCGGGTTCGGCCGAACCCAGTAGTTTTTGTTCAAACCCTATATTTGTATTAAGAAATTCAATGAATATGTACAAATTATTAATTTAGAACCCAGTAACTTAAAATGATTATAATCTCGAACCCATAAGGTTCAAATCCTAGCTCCGCCTCTGCATGAAACGACGGCAAACGATACAATCTATCCAAACATTGTCTTTATCTAACAATACAATACAATACAGTACAATACAATACGATACATTATGAAACGACATGTAACAACAATCTAAACATGATGTTAAGTAACATGCTCATACAGTATAAGGACTCTTATATTATCAGTTAGCTTAACATATTGTAGTAGAATAACTACCATTTTTATTAGGTAACCAAGTAATGTTTGTCGTAGAAATTTACCTATAATTATTTTATAAATGACCAGGCTGTATAAATATATTTTATACTGTTAGTGCAGTAAACTCACTTTTGTTTCTGAGTCAGAGTCCGCAGTTAGGTGTCTCCAGTACTTTTTTTTTTGGTTTCTTACCCGGTGTCCGCCTTGGCGTAACTCGTAAAGTTGTCATGTGACCAGGAGGTCACGGGTTCGAGCTGTGGAAACAGCCTCTTGCAAAAATGCAGGGTAAGGCTGCATACGATAGACCCTTGTGGTCCGGCCCTTCCCCGGACTCCGCGCATAGCGGGAGCTTAGTGCGCCAGGCTGCCCTTTACCCGGTGTCCGGTACTCGCATTGGAGCATGACTATATCTGGATTCGCACTGCGTAGGACCCCATTGGGGGGAAGTGCTCCCTGCCAAGATTTTTCCATACCCAAGGCTCGAACCCGAGACCTCTGGTTAAGGGAAGAGCAGCCCCATCCGCTGCACCACATGGTGTTTCCAGTACCCAAGTTATTTTCTCAAGGCATATGCAAAAAGTTGTTATCTTCTGATTTAAACACATATCTTTTGATAGTGCTGCAAAACCACTAGCTTCTGCCACTAAATAGCCTGGTCTTTTGGACCATGAGCTTTTTTCCCTCTAAAATAGTTGAATAGTAGAAGTGATACTATGCAAGATTGCAAGTTTTTAGTTGTATCTAGTGGTTCACATGTTCAGAATTTCTCAAGGTTTTTGCAAAATTTTCAGGATGGAGAAGTTAGATATAAGAAAGGCTAGCAGTCAAGCAAAATCTCTTGGCACCATAGTGGCAATTATTGGAGCATCTATCATGACTCTATACAAAGGGCCAAAACTACTTGGATCATCTACTTTACCTTCTCATTCATCTCATCATCACTCTTTACTTTCACAAGAATCAAATTGGCTACTGGGAGGTCTTCTCATTACCATCACCTGCATCATGTCTTCTGGATGGAACATTCTTCAGGTAAAACATATTACATGTAATTCAACAATGAGAATGAATTTGAAGTTAAAAACCATCTTCACAATCTTTCAGAGTTAGCAGTGTGTTTCGTGTATGTAGGACTTATTTCAGTTAATGATAATGCCGGTAGAACATCGTGGAAACAACCTCTTGCAGAAATGCAGGGTAAGACTGTGTATAATAGACCCTAGTGGTTTGGCCTTTTCCCCGATACCGCGCATAGCGGAAGCTTAGTGCACCGCGCTGCCCCTTTTTATACTGCCTGTAGAACATGTCATAGTAGAGGATGCTTCAATCTGTTTCCAATTCATACCTCATAAGTCATAAAAATTCATTTTGCCTCTAGCAACCTTTTGGTAGGCTCGATTCATTTTACACTTACTAGAATTTCACTTACTACTTAGTGCCTAAATCCTTTAATTGTAGACTGCTAAGTTGCTCCGACATGGCAGTTTAGGTGTCGTACCCGTGTCGACACGACACTAGTATGAGTGTGGGTATGGGATCCGTACCGGATCTGGTCAAATAATTTTTGGTACTTTGACCGCGACGGCCGGAAAAATTCGAGACGAGATACAATTTGATTCTCCGAGGTTAAATTTGAAGAAAACAACATACCTTATCTATGAAATCAATCATTTATTTACCTACAACTTGAGAATAAAAAAGAAATCCACACTTTACAAGCTATACATAAGTATTCGACAAAATTTCTCATAATTTAGATATTTTTTTATATTTTTTGAATTATATTTAGCCGGATCCCCGCACCCGTATCCGTACTAGGATGATATCCCCGAATCTTAGAATTTACATCTCGAAGGATCCGACCTCTAGATCCGCACCCGTGTCAAACACCCGCACCCGTGTCCAAGCAACGTAGGTAGACTGTCGTCATCTCAACCATTTTAACATTACTGTGGCTGCTAATTTGATATTGGTTTATAGATAAGCAGGTTTATATCTCAGAATTAGGACATTATTACAAATTCATTTCATGTTGTACTCGTTTAGACAGATACGGTGAAGAAATACCCTGAACAAATGACAATAGTGTTCTTCACTTGCTGCTTTGGGAGTATTCAGTGTGCAATTTTAACTCTGGTATTAGAAAGAAATCCAGAGGCATGGATGGTGAAGCCTGGGATTGGAATTATAGCCATTGTTTTCTCAGTAAGAAATTTGATGCTTCATTTTCAGTTCTCTTCTGCACCTTGTTCTTTAACAGATATCTGATTCTGTTTTCTTACACACTAGGCTGTATCTGGAAGTGTGTTTCGTTACAACGTTTTGACATGGTGCTTGGACAAGAAAGGTCCTCTTTATGTAGCGATGTTCAAGCCCTTGGGAATGGTAATTGCAGCAATCTTGGGGATCCTATTTCTTGCCGAATCACTCCATTTAGGAAGGTATATATAAAGCCATTCTTTTCCTCATGTTTACACATGATTGATCAATTAGCTTTGAGTTGCTTCTAGTTATATTACAAAAACTAGGTTGACAAACGGACACTACTAGTTTAGGCATAACTACTATTGCGATTAATACTACTACTAGTTTAGGTATAGCTACTGCTACTGCTACTACTACTAGTACTACTTCTACTTCAACTGTCGCACCCTGCTCCCTGTAATACTCTCTTTGTTTAATGTTTAAGTTTTTCTTTTGCTGACCATAAAAAAAGCTTGGGTTGCTTGCAAACAAATTAATGCATCTGCAATTCTCTTTTCCGCTGTATTGTAATTTATAATTACATGACTCATCTTCCTTCTGGTTTTGAAGTATTAGTTTTTAATGCACATATATAATTTCATGAAGTAAATTTTTTGTTACAATGTGGTGGGCAGTGTTATAGGAGCAGTTATCATATCTGCTGGATTTTATTCTGTGCTGTGGGGAAAGGCCAAGGAGATCAAGTCAATGCTTGAGATTGAGGACACTGTTTGTATAATTGACTCATCAAGCCAAAGAAGCCCTTTATTGCAAAAGTAAATTTCATTAAAAAAACACATAAAATAAAGTGTTACTTATGGCCCTTTGACTATGCTGCTCAGCCATGTTAATTAACACTACCCTTTCACAAGTATTTGAATGCATTGGCGAGTGCTGCTTAATTTCAGATGAAGATGATAAAGGCTAGTGGATGAGGCGTCAGATAAACGAGACGCAAATTAGCCACAAGTAGACCAGTACTACATAGAAGAAATGGATTCATGATTTAAATTTGAAGAATTCAATATTTTTATTTATACGATTGAACTCTGTAGAATTTAATATTTATAGAAATTTTGGTTTTTCAAATATATATTTATGCTCAATGGAAAATGTTAGGTTCAATTGAACTCATGTTGCATCCGCCTCCACTTAATAGGCGTATGTGCCAAAACATATTGCATCCAAAAACTCTTGAAGAAAGCAGATAATTAGCTTAATTAATACCAGCAAATATTTTTAACCTCCAATAAAGATTGTCTGTTTGCATAATTATATCATTTGGTTAAACGTTGTTAGGGCAGAAATTCGCTATCCAGAAATCTACCCCTTTCGAGGAGTGCAGCTTAATTGATTAGTCTACTTCCTGGAATTCTGTCACTCTATAAGTATTAGGAGTATTCAAGTGACAGAAAGTTATTACTTTATAATTTATAAGTGTTAGGATATCGACTCACATGTGGACTTTTACCAGGCTAAACTGCAAATGCTACTCTATAAAAGAGAAAAAAATACTTATCTATTCCGTGTTTACAGCAAAATAGTAAACACTTTTTGTTTGTTGGAAATATTGAATGAAGATAAGTACTATTCACCCGATAAAACGGAGGACTAGTCTTCTTGTAGTAGTAACCTCCCCATTGGCTTCGTTTAACGCCCTCAACAAAGTCGCAAGTTCTAGTAGACAACATATAAGGAAGAAAGATTTGATTATTTGCTTAAGATAATATTATGATAATATATACCGCTGAATTAAAGATTTGATTCGGTCAAAAGGGGTTGGTTAAAGCTAGAATATTATTTACTTCAGATACTTTTTTTCAGAAAGAAAAGAAAAAACAGACCGGTTATTAATGATTTCAAAGAAGAGAGGGAAAAAGTGATCAATGGAGAAGGAGAACGATGCAAAGTGAAATATACATTCACCATTCACTTGGGAATTTAGATATTTAGGTGAAACACATGTCAAAGCTGGAACATAGAAGTTCTATGTTTGAATTTTAAGTCACACATTAACAAAAAAAAAATAAAAAAAAATCACTTGTTTGGTTAAAAAAAATCAAGCCTACACATGAAAGATTTTTAGATCATGAATAATACTCCTATAATTAAAAAAAATCCAATTTCTTAAAATATTTAATTCTCTTATCGCATACTTTGAAGTGTTCTCTAGCGTACCTTTGATCCGTAGAGCGAAAACCTTTCCACATGCAACTTTCAAATCATTGTGGCTTATACAATTACACTTACAAGCAAAATCTTAATTTGACTTTGTGAGTTTAATCTCCTTATTCCTTAATGCACTTTTGTTTCAAAACAAACAGAAGGGTTCAATTTAGGATCTTCGCTACTGCTTTTTTTTTTCTTCCTTTTTTTTTTTTGATATATGTTTCTTATTTGGGAGTTGGGATTTGGCAAGACCATCAAATTTCCAATTTCGTTAGGCATCTCTCTTTGGATGATTGGTTCGTTTAATGACCCTTGCATTATTTAGCCGCTAAAAGTACCAATAATTGAAGGAAAAAGCGCATTGTCTAAATAGCAACTATCAAAGTGTCAGCATTCACCATCTACAGTTGCATGTCACTCCAACCTTCACTTGTTCTTTTCTCTTTTACGTGATAGAAAGCCAAAAATATACAATTTGTAGTGCTGGGCACAATATTTATATTAAGTCAATAAATATAAATTAGTATTTCATTCATTTCAATTTATGTGAATTTATTTCTTTTTAGTCCGTGCCAAATAGAATGATCTCTTTACTTACTTGGAAATAATTTACCTTTATGCAATGATTTATAGCTACACAAAATATATGTGTCTCATTTTACACCACAAGTTCAAAAGTCTTCTCTCTTTTCTTAAACTCCGTGCCCAGTCATATGAGTTCACATAAATTGAAACGGAGGGAATACAACATCATACCTTAATCATGGTAATGGATGTGTATTTTTAATTAATTTTTTAACCATTAAGATTAAATTATTTAATTTAATATAAATATTATGTGCGGGTAAATTTTCTACCTAAAGGTAGATTGCCCCTTGTCACAAAAAGGCAGAATAGTCACACGCCTTTATCACTCCCACAAGCAACTCTCATTTCTTTTTGAGGATAACTCCTACTTAGCGTGCCGATCAATCTAATCTTTTTATCTTCAATTAGATGCCAATTACATGCTGCTATGCAACTTGGTGTCTAAAATCAATATCCTTTCCTCAAAATATATGTGATCAATTATTAAATCAATCAAAGCCCAGAAGAATTTTGCAAAAATAAAATTATATACGGTCAAAACCGAGTTTGCCTTTCGAGATTGGAATATGGATGAAGATTCGTCATCGTAATATCGAGCCATGATTCGAAGTTTGATTGTCGAGTTCGAGACTCAAAGATCGACCGATACTGAGCTCGAGTCAATATCAAAGCTCGAGGTCCAGAGATCGATCAATATCGAGCTCGAGTTAATATCAAGGGTCGAGGGTAAAGAAAACGACCAATACCGATACCGGCCAAGACCGAGATCGAGCCAAGAGACAAAGAGCCGTTATAGCCGTACTAGGGAAGAGAATCTCGGCGGAAATCAAGGAAAAGCTAATTAATTAATCTATCATGAGATCCTTACTATGTATTTTTAATTATATCCAAAGTAGGATTCCTCCACTATATTAAGAGTGGCTATCATTTGTAGACACATTCATACTCTCACATTCAGAGATTATTGAGATTTACAGAACATCTAGCAAATATTATTTTTTTTGGGTTTTTGATATTGATTCATCTTATTTATTTATCAATCATTCTCTACTCAATTTGGGTTTGTATTCATTCTTTTTTACGGTAAATATTCGATATATCTCTACTTATTTTTCCAATTTGTACCAAGTTATACAACGTATCTTTAGAACTACGTATAAATTCAACTTTATCCGTTTTTCGGATAAACAAAAATAAAGTAAACAGAAGATCCAAATGGATTTGTAGAATATTAATTTAATAATTAACGATGATTAAATTTGAAAACCATTCGTTAGGCGCCGCGCTACTTGTAAAAATACTGCTTCGAGATAAACTAAATATGTTTCGAGAAGCCCCACGAATGTCAAAAAATATTGTGGGGACGGGCTGGTCATCCACATTCAGGAGCTAGTGGAGAGAGAAGCCCCACTAATGTCAAATTTAAAGTCATGAATCTCTCGTATTGACGTACTCTCCCTGATATAAAATGGGAGAAAGGGATTTTTCTTTTCTTTTTTTTTTTGCAAGGGAAGGAAAATTGGGATATGGAATCTTAAGACTTCCTGAAAATCAAAGACAAACGAGAGTTTCTGTAGCTAGACTTTAATTTTAAAAAAGTGTATTCTAATCGAGATTCTCCGAAAATAGATTAATAGAGTGTGTTAAGAGCCTACGATTGATATATTGAAATCAATCCTTATTTAAGACGGGCTCACTTGTCAAACTGATTTTTTTGAGTTTGGCAATCATAAATGATTAGCACTGTTGATCTTGCCTTGTTTTAATTACAAATTGTAGTAATTACGGAGCATGTTTGATTCGAAAAACTTTCGCAAGTTGAAACTTGAAAATATAGTATGATTTGGAAAATTTCAAAAGATTCTTGTTGATAAATAGGTCATGGTTAGAAAATGAGTTATGCAACTTCTAAGAGGAGAGAAAATGACATTTGAGGTGGGACCTAAAGAATATAAAAAGAGAATAAAGATTACAACTTTCAATATAATCTTAGCTACAAAAACAGTTACTTTAACTCTGGTCCCTAAACTGTTAGTGGAAACCAATATATATATGCGTATTAGACACACACACTCCTATGATTAATTATTTATTTGCTACCAGATTTTCAGGTAGAGCTCATGTCCGCCACGCGTAGCGTTCGATAATTTTGGAAGCAAGACGTTGAAGTTTCGAGAGAGAAAAAAGAGAAGAAAAAAATGGCAAGCAATAATGGAAGAATTAGAGAATCAACTTTTTACAAAGAAGTGGTACCATTTGCAGCTATGGTGTCTATGGAATGTATAAATGTTGGATTAAACACACTTTACAAAGCTGCTACTAACAAAGGAATGAGTAATCATGTCTTTGTTGTTTACAGTTATGGTCTTGCTGCTGTTCTCCTTCTTCCTTCTCCCTTTTTCTCAACCAGGTTTCTTTTTTTTTACTCTCTGTTTTCTCAAGTTTTTGGCTCGGATTTTGATCAATTGTTATATGTGTAAATCTTATCAAGAATCTGATAGGGGTTGAAAATTGGAAATATCTGACTGCAGATCAAGAGTACTTCCACCCCTCAACTGCTCAATTCTTGCCAAAATATTTCTTCTTGGAGTTATCGGGTACCTTTTGACTTTTTTCTTCTTCTTGTTTATCACTCTTAATCTGTCAATCTGCAGATATACTATATGTCAAAAAGTTTTCTTCTTTTCCTGCAAATTAGGATGATGATCAGATGTTCTTACTCTTATTTATGAGGAAAAAATCTATTGAATTCAATTAAAAGTCTGATTCAGGGGTCTAACTACTGCTGAACTAATTTAGAGACATCATACAGCCAACGCCAATAGAGTCGATTGATTGGTTGACCAATATACTGTAATTCTGTTTCAGGAAATTTATTCAGGATAAGTTCAATAAGAATTCTTGTAAATTTAATCCTCTTCATTATTCATGACAAACAATTAACCCAAATAGCTGCCCATCTAATTACTTAAATTAAAGATAACCGATAAAGATAAAATATATGCATAATTTATGTATTATATGCGCATAATTATATATAATCAATATATAATCTATATATATTACTAAAAAATATAAATAATAAATATAACCAGCTATTTGGGTAAAGTTATTTTTATAACTTTTTTTCATTACACAGGGATCTTAGAAGGGAAACGGGAGTGGGGCATTTGCGCGAATGGCCTTAGTGGGGCGTTTGCGTGAATGACCATTTTGAGGCCACTATTTAAATTCTTTCCTCTTCAGTGTGGTAGATTAAATTTATCAAAAAAGAAAAAATCCACCCAACTTTTATAGGCGAAGTTTTGCTCATTGTGCCAACAGTGTCAACATA